TAAATATCTCCGCTATGGCTCGAGCAAACGGACTGATTTTTTTATCAATAATAGAAGCATGTTCACACTTTAAATTCATATGGACAAGATTAGAGAAAGCATTTATAAAGTACGACTAATGACCTCAACAAAATAATTTTACTTTTTTCACAGATAGAATAGAAAACAATATACTTAACAAAGGGTTTCTCTAGGCATGTCTTTATGGATATACAGCTTGAACCTGCCTCTATCGTTGATAAAAGAATCAGCTCGTTAACTCGAGCTGTAGCGGATATATTCAATTTTTTTCGGCAAAGTGACCTTTTTTCTAACTGTGAAAAAGTAAATTTTTCTTGTTGAGGTCAATAGTGATACTTAACAAAGGGTCTCCCTAGACATGTCTTTATGAATATAAACTTGGTACATGCCTCTATCACTGATAAAAAAATCCGCTCGTTTGCTCGAACCATAATGGAGATATTCAATTTTTTTGGGTAAAGTGACTTTTGCGCCACCCTGTATTATATGGCCTCGTGATTTTCAGGAAATTAAGTGTCTCTAATAGCCTCTAATAGAACGAGGGCCTTTTCTGTGAATGCACTACCCGGTTGTATTTTTCTCATAAAACACGGATCGTACATTCAGTTTTAATGAAACTCAAATATCCTATATATTAATTCCTCTATCTCATTTACGTTTTTCTTAAACTAACAAGGGAACATATTTGAGTGTCCTCCCTGAGAACAAGTTCAAAACCGTTCTATTCGATAGACACCTCGACGAATATCACTAATATGAATGTCTTAGCTGCTTTCGTTTAGGTCTGCAAAAAAAATGGGAGAATCAAATTTTTTCATTTGTATAATATTTGTAAGAATGACCTCTTTTTCTCATAGAAGAGTCGTCGAAAATGAACAGAAATCCACATGAAAGAGATCTTTAGGTATCACAAATAATGGCATTATATGTGTTTTCCAGCATTTGTGTTGTTTTTAACACTATATGGTCATTGGAAGAGTTTCAAGTGCTCATTGTCAGAAACATTCATATCGTTTTGCGTCGAACCAAGTACTCTGGAAACAGCGATACACCGTGAAAACGTGATACACTTACAGAATTCTGTATAGTGACCGTAAAGGAGCAGCCGATTACGGCATATCTAACATGTTACGGAAGCCATCTTAAGCAACTCTATACGAACATAATACGAGCTGTAATACTATATAAATTTCATACGATAAAATATGATGATCCAGAAATAATGAGGAAACTTTGGGAGCTTTTAGTCGCACTATATTAATTGATTTCACTTCAAATAAGTGAAATATTAGCTCATTAGCTTTTGTTTTCCTTTTGTTACAAAGGAAAACCGTGGTCAGTTCTGTCAGTAGACAGATACAAATAATTATTCTTGATATGTGAGCAGGAAGTATAGATATGATATTGTTATTTGTAATAGATAAGCGTCTCTTTCATGTTGAATTCTGCTCATTTTCGACGACTCTTCTATGAGAAAAACGGGTCATTCTTATAAATATTATACAAATGAAAAAATGGTACAACTATAATAGCAGAAAAGTACATAAAAATGAAAATTTTGATTCTCCTATTTTTGCAGACCGATACAAAAGTAGCTAAGTCATTCATATTAGAGATATTCATCAACGTGGTGCGTGTGGGTGTGTGGGTGTGGGTGGGTGTGGGGTGTGGATGTGGGTGGGTGTGGGGTGTGGGTGTGGGTGTGGGATGGGTGTGGGCCTGGGTGTGGGTGTGGGTGCGGATGTGGGTTTGGGATTGATTAAGCGGTAGATTTAACTCAGCACCCACACCCACAATATATTTTTAGGCTTGCGTATATTCTTTACCCATAAATGTTATTTATTTTGACTCATGAGAAGAAGAAATAGCAATTGACAGCCAAAATTGGGCATTTTTGGTATAGAACCTTAGAAAGAAAATCCTCGAAGATTCCATCCTTTTCTGTTCTGTGAACACTTTTCATTGACAGATACAAAGAATTGATCTGAAAAAACACTATCATAGTTAATTTATATATTGATGAAATATCTAATGTTGAAATAGTTAAGCAATTGTCAAGATCTATGGTATACAATCAATTTTGGGTGGAACTATATACACTACTGGCCATAACTCCTTGGATGTGCGATACTCCCTCATAACTTCAATAATTTTCCACGAAATTTTTACCAGAGATAGAGCTTAAAAAACTGTGATCGCAAGCACCAACTCGAGCTCTATCGACTGATATAGTATGGAGTTATGATTTAAACATTAGTTTCACCTCTGTTTACTTGTTAACCAATATTCACAGTTTTTATGAAAAACATTCGAGATACTAGAGGTCTTGTTTAATCTTTAGGTTATGTCGTAAGTTGTTACAGGAATACGCAGTGGGCATTTATTGCTCAATAAAGGCATCTCTGGAGAATAGTAGACTAATATTAATGAGCTAAGAAACAACTTAGAGATTAAACAAGTCTTCTAGCATCGCGATTGTTTTTCCATAGAAACTGGAATATTGATTAATAAGTAAACAGGTGAAACTAATGTTTGAAACATAACTCCATACTATATCAGTCGACAGAGCTCGGGTTGGTGCTTGCGATCACAGTTTTTTAAGCTCTATCTCTGGTAAAAATTTCGTGGAAAATTATTGAAGTCATGAGGGAGTATCGCACATCCAGGGACTTACGGCTAGTAGTGTATATATCGTTTGATTTCTCTTTGAAATTGTTATCTTTATTCATTATCTTTTGTCCCTTTCAATCATTTCATTCCATATAAATAGATCTATTTTTGATATATTTTATTAAGATAATACAAAATCAAGAGAACGACGTATAGAGTCATGAGGAAAATAGTTTTTGATATGTTCATTGATTTGATCCACTGGATAAATATATAGAGTAGCAAGTTTTGCAAAATGATTTCGTGTTATATATCTTGTAAAATAGTATGTCACTCTTTCCAATGATTGATAATCGACACAACGATGAAGATTATTTGGCAAAGACATATTCGTATCAAATAAACATAGTTCAACATAATCATCATGAGTATTAGTAAGATCAAGTCGAGTAAGATTGGGATATTCAATAATTGAGAATATTTGATGATTGTTGTTTGATTTTACAAATTGTTTAGTATTTTGGGCTTTACGATTCTTTATTGTTAATTCTTTCATAAATGGAAATGATTGAGCAGTTTGAGGAAAAAATTCATATTCAAATGGATGTTCATCATGTAATTCAACTTGAGTAACACTGGTAAATAATCCACCTCGAAAATTATTTGTTATATTATTGTAAATTTTCCATTTATATGGATATGAATAAATATGACATTGACTATATCCTTCTTCTTGGAAATGATCAATAGAAGTTATTATTTGATTATTAGAAATATATTTAAATGTTTTCTGAATATGTTCATTTAATAGAAAATTAGTTTGATCACGATGATCAATGATTGAGTAAATATTAAATGTGTATTTATATAATCGTGGCATATAAATAAGAATATCTTTCTTCAATGTGTTAGGTTCCGTTCTTTCTTTATTTAAAATAACATATAAGAACCTAAACATATATGATCATGAACACCACTTACACTTGTAAACACGACAACAGACTAACAGAAGAGAGAGAGACAAGAAAGAGAAAGAAGAATAAGAACAAGAAGAAGGAGGATCGTCCATCTATAATAGATGGCGATCCTGACACCTCCCCCCACAGTACAGGTCAGGCAAAGAAAGCCAAAAGTTTGCTTGACCGACACTACACCACCAGGATCAAACGGCCAGTTCATAAACCAATAAATGTTTAAAATGTTGTTGTAAATTTTTACGTCGAACGCTCTTGTAATTTTGAGTAAGATTATTTGTGCTGTTGTTTTAAGGTTTGCATGACGACGTATTTCAGTTATTATAGATTCATTATGCATATTTAATGAATATTGTATTTCAATAAATACACTATTGGTTGCAATAATTGAATTATAAGTTGTAATGCCAACATTTTGAAAAACATCAAGACCATTTGACAGAACATTAATATCATCAAGTAGTAAATTTTCCAAACTTGAAACATTAAATGATGCATCATTAATTGGAACTAAATTAACCTGTGGCGTTTGAATATTTGAAGTTTCATATTCATCTTTATATCCTAATGGTTTTTCTTTTGTTTTCTAAGCTGTTTGATTCATTTTTGAAACTGGGTCAGGGACTGGTGAATCATAATCAGCTTTATCAGATCCAATAACCACATTAGTATCTTGAGTAATAATATTTGTGAATGTTGTAATGTTTTGTTTATCTGCTATTGGATGAACAGCAAATCGATTTTGTTCATGTTGTGAGAAATGCTGATCATGTAAATCATCACCAAGCATATTTGATTTTGGTTTTATTAAAGTTTTATCATTTTTATTTAAATGAATTGTTGTATGTAGAGAACTAAGCTTAATCCGTGAAGTATTGTTCATCATTAATAACTGTTGTTGATCGTTTTCATTAAGACTAATTTTATATTTATTACTATAATCTTGAGAAATACATAATGGATCAAAATTATCAGCATTCCCACGTAATTTAAATATTTTTATAAATTTTTCCAGAAAAGATGCCCATGTTAAAAATGAATCCGCACAATCAAAAAACCAATCTTTTGCAACACCTAAATATAAAGATATATAAAGCAACTTTTCGTTATCTGTTAACTTAAATATATTGATTGTTTGCTGAATTTCTTGTAACCAATTAGATACATTTTGTTTCGATTTACCAGAAAATTTTGGTAATTTTTCAAAAGTAGTGATTAACGTTTGAGTTCGTAAACAGTCCATAAAAGCATCTTGATAATTTGCATTTCCTGATTGCTTTGATGGCGTACATGGTGAAATAATTTTTGTTGATAAGTCTGTCTTTAACTCTTGATTATCAAAACGTTGTAAAAATTTCTTCATAAATGTAATAAAGGTTGGCATATGATCTTGTTGTTCAATATACCAAATAAGGGCTTCACCGGTCAATGTGTTGGGAATTAATTCATATTGTTCACGACGTGTAACTTGTAAGGAATCAAATTTTTCCATAAAATGTTTTATCCTAATTTTTGGATTACCATGTCCATCAAATTTTTGTATTGAATTTAATTCTAAATGAATTGAAGATTGTTGTTTTTGTTCATTTTGATTTAATCGCTGATCATCTAAATCATGACCTAGCGTATGTGTTGTTGATTTCGTAAGAATTTTAACATTTCTATTAAGAACAAGCGTTGTAAATGTAGAGTCAATGTCAATTTTTTCAGAATTGGACATCATTAATAACGGTTGTTTTTCTTTTTTAAATGGCAATAGTAAAGCTTGTTAGCGCAGCCCCTTTGGGGCTGAAATGTGGAACTCACATATCTTCTTTACTTTCACTTTGCTGATGGCAACATATATAATGTTTAAATTCTCTCAGAGACGATAATTCATTTCTAATGATAATTGATTGTTAGGAAATGTTGTCGTTTTTCATTTATATACTTCGAGTAGAACCTTTTTTTCTCGTTGCTATGTGTCTGTAATGGGCGGGGAGTATCCATGTAATGTTTTTTTCGTTGCTATGTGTCTGTAATGGGGGGGGGGGGGGG